GTATGTTTTGCATAGTAGTGTCTTTATTAATTTAACTATTTATATATTGTGTTGAGCAACACCAACGCGTATTAGTCCCCACGATCATTCAGTCCGATCAGCACACAGTCGTTATCTTAGTGGATATAGTGTTATAATTGCACTGGGGTTGGTATTGTTGCTAAATACCTGAGTACCCTACCCTTACATATGTAATATCAAAGCAATTGGACTTGCGGTTTTTAACAAGAAGTTGAAAATATCACTTTTTACCAAAAATGACAAAAATATTCACCAAAATTAGAGAATTAAAGATATCATTACAAAATGAACAAATCTGAGAGAGGTCCACATGTAGTACCTATATATGTAATATCAAAGCAATTGGAATTGCGGTTTTTAACAAGAAGTCGAAAATATCACTTTTTACCAAAAATGACAAAAATATTCACCAAAGTTAGAGAATTAAAGATATGATCATGAAATGAACAAATCTGAGAGAGGTCTACCCAAGGTACATATACACCAAGTATCAAAGCATTCAGGCTTGTAGTTTTCAAGAAGAAGTCGAAAAAGTAAAACATTGACACGGACGACGACGATGGACAATCACTCATATGATAAGCTCCGCTTGACAAAGTCGACAGCGGAACTAAAAAGTAGGCCGAGTGAACATAAACAAGCAGACTGTCGGCTGAGATAGCTCCGCTGTTAGCAATGCACATTTCAATTAAAGAACAGAAGATATCATTAGAAAATGAACAATATGTATAGTACCAAAGCAATGGGACTTGCTGTTTTTAACAAGAATTCAAAAATATCACTTTTCACTAAAAATGACAAAAATATTCACCAAAATTAGTGATTTAAACATATCATTACAAAATGAACAAATTTGAGAGAGGTCCACATGTAGTGCCTATACATGTAATATAGAAGCAATTGGACTTGCGTTTTTTAAAAAGAAGTCGAAAAAATCACTTTTAACCAAAAATAATCACTAAAATTAGAGAATTGAAGATATCATCATGAAATGAACAAACCTAAGAGAGGTCCACCCAAGTTACATATACACCAAGTATCAAAGCATTCAGACTTGTAGTTTTCAAGAAGAAGTCGAAAAAGTAAAACATTGACACGGACGACGACGATGGACAATCACTCATATGATAAGCTCCGCTTGACAAAGTCGACAGCGGAGCTAAAAATTAAATGTTTCATTGCTATTGATAACTGTTGACATAATTAACATCTATCCATAACTGCATTTACACAAAGTAGCTATTATAATTGACCAGTGCTTTCACAGCCGACTACAATCATGCAATTTCCCCTCAACTATTAACTTACTTGTCTATATATTCCAACATCGATACCTAAATCTTCACCAATTATTTTTCCAACACCACATCCATTTGTCATATCTACACAACAACTATCTGGTACAGAATATTTGCGTATATTTTCATTATAATATGAATCCTTCCAGTCCACTGGACCATTTGCACCACAGCATTCAAGCTAAAAGAGTTCATTAAGGAGATCATTAATTAATTGCTCATCAAAAATCATACCAAATACCAAATTTGCTCTACTGTAAAATACTTTATTTTAGCTGAAATAAATTTTCACTGAAAAGACAATTTGGCTGTTTTGTATAACATTTATTTTTTCAGTGAATTTTGATAAATTGAATGCAATAAATAGGGAAAAAAGGTGATTTCATTATTCATTCATTCAGTGAAAATAGCGTAAACTAAATTCCAAGTGAAAATAAAGTATCTGACTCTATTAAATCGGGGGGAGTCGTCACTCGTGCATGCGTCAGATGACCAAAGTGTGTCATTGTTTACAAACAAGCATCTACCCATGAGCCTTTCCGTTTTTAACATGAGTTGTTATCGTCATTTGGAACTCAATTCCCGTGCGTGCGCAGGTGACGACCCGTCTGCTTTAAAAGTGCAATGTACGCATTGTACGCTGGATCATTATATTGTGACTTATTTTGATCATAGACATACCTTTATTTCGTACATAAGCGCATGCGCTTCTAATAGAGCAAATACAGTTTGCATAATAATTGAATAAAAAATAAAAATACAATATTATTTTAAGGGAAGTATGTTCTTTGCATTTATCCTCCTGAATGTCTCATTTATTAACCATGCAACAACAAGTGCATGAAATTAATTTCAGTGGCAGGTGAAAAAAACTTGTTTCAACTCTAGATGGCGCTGTTTGTCAAATGCATATCTGATCTTAGTTCTGAAGCCATTTCTCACAATGTTTTAGATCAATACTATATTGTGTGCAACAAGAAACCAGTGATCATTAAAATATCTAAATGAGAAAGTGTTACTATATACATAATTTTAATATTCAAGGTATGACCCCATTAATCAGAGGTCAATTACATTCATTAAATTATCAATTTCAAGATGAGAGTAATAATTTTATTTTTCAACTCAAACCATCACAAGGTTTAGTATAACAAGAAAAAATACAAAGACGCAACAACATATTAAAAATTGTAATTTTACAAGTGTTCTGCAAATTTTCCATAATCAGTTTTTCAAGCCCTCATTTTTCAAAAAAAAAGTTTTTGATTTTCATGGGCTTATAATGAAATGTTTTTTGTCATCAACAGTTTCATCACCTCACTTTTCAGTTTGAATTTTTCTTCAACCCTTTTTTATTTCTAGGGTGTGATCATGCCGCCTACACAAAAACATTTAATTCACAAACCTGTTTACAAATATGACAGTAAAATGGCGATTGACATTCTTAAAGGCTGGTGAGATCATTAACAAGTTCAAATGGACCCTCTACATTATCAGCTGTTTGGATGTCATTTGGTGTTTTTTGGATACCAAGCAGCTGGAAACATTTTGAGAAATAATTTATATGTTGAACTTTGACACCATAACCTAGAAATTACCATTCATAAAACATCTGATTTCTGTATACTTTGTTTTTAAAAAATGTAAAAGATTTATATCCAATGAGAAACTATGTCTATTTTGTCCAAAATTAAAAATATGTAAAAATACATAAAAATGTGAAAAATTTGGCACTAAGATTTTGGCAGGAACATTCCTGCTATTTTTTTATATTCAGTCATGTAAAATGGTAGTCAGTATTAATATATTGCATAAACATCAATTTGGTATTTTGTTTGTCAATACAAATATTACACTATAAAAACTAAGCAATAGATTTTGATTGTTTTCCAAATTGAAATGTCACATCATCACGATAGGCATCAATTGAGGAATATAAAAATAGCAGTATATAATATTTGGGTCACTCATCATGATTACCTAGATTACACTGAAATCATGGGACCAGCATGGATGGATATGTCATTCCATGTCACTTAGGTCAAAATCAGCATCCCTTTTACCTTGTCTTAGAGATAATTAATGCTATTACAACATACCCCTTGCTGCAGTGAATCAATAGCAGCCGTTACAGTCTCCTCAGTTCCCTCTGTGCCATATATATTGAGTACTGCATCTTCAAGGCCTTCGTTTATGATAGTAGCGACTTCTAGTCGGTGATAGTATGCCCAAACACCACCACCGACTTCAATGACAAACACACAAACCAGTAGCACAAAATACTGTTCAAGAAATACAACATGAATATTGTAAATGATTTAAAGAAATTAAAGAGCCTGTCATCATGCTGAATGTGATTAAACGTTGTGAAAACAAACACACATGTTACTATGACAGCAGTGTATCAGACTGGACGTAGGACTTGTGTATAAAATGATTCAATATTTGTTTACAAATGAAAAAGTTAATGTTTTTTACTCTATCTTTTGATGTTGTGTGGTCTAATATTGGTGACTCCTTTAGACTTATGTATACGCCATTGATTTAACATTGATTTAACATTGATTTAACAATGATTTAACATTGATTTAACAATGATTGAAGTTATCGGTAATTCATTGTCTGACAAATTGTTGGTTCAAGTTTTTGCACATTTTTCATTATTTTTGTATAATTTCTTCGTTAATTTTGGATCAAATGGACATAATTGGTCATAATTTGCTGTTACCTACAGATCTTGAACAAAACTGTTGAAAAAAGTTACCAATGTCTATTAAGATGTATAAGGTAAAACTAATTCATATATTATAAGGATCAAGCCTGAAATTCTTGAAATAAAACAAAAGGGATACATGGTTTATTTTTTGTTATTTGGTTATGAAAAGTGACCTTCCTATTAAAGCGATGGTACAATGGTTAACAAATTGGCTGCAAATCAGGAAGGTTTAGTGTTTGACTCTTAGATTAGTATGTTTGCTCAGAGTACGTCTGTCCCTGCCTTTCAAACATGCAGTAATAGATTAGGGAGGTTAGTTTGCTCTTGCATTCGCGATTAGCACCACATAATAAGTAGTGGGTTTAAATACGATCCCTGGTATAAATTTGTCCAAAAACTTCTACAAATTACAAATATGACAAACACGGATACTAATCAGGCAAATTTTTGCAATCTGTTTAAAGAAAGATTATACCAAATTTACTCAACAAATGTGGAAAGTCAGTTGAACAAAACTGGTCATAATAAACTAAGTACTTATAAAACATTCAAAAATAATTATAAATTTGAAAAATACTTGGATGATATAAAAAACAAAAAACACAGAGTAGCATTAACCAAATTTCGTATTTCAGCCCACTTCTTGCCAATTGAAATAGGTCGTCACAGGGGAATAAATAAAATTGACAGGGTATGTAACAAATGTGACACTAATGATGTGGGTGATGAAAAACATTACTTTTTTCATTGTGACAGTTTTTCTGAACACAGAAAAAAATTCCTCTATACATTGTTCAAATACTCACCTGACTATCAAACATTACCAAATGGAGAATTGTTTATTAATGTTTTCTCTAGTGTAGACAAATATATTTGTAGTATTTTAGCTAATTTTGTTTTTTCAGATTTTAAAATTATTTTAGATTAGTTGTGATACTGTATGTTTCTTACGTTGGACTTTACTCAAGCATTGTTTTTGTGTACGTTCCAAATAAAATATCCTATCCTATCCTATCCTAATAACAACGAAAAAAAACGTCAGTATATAATAGCAGTAACAATAAGGTCTCCTGGTACAAAAATACATAAACAAAGAAAGCTTATAAAGAACTCCTGTGTGCTGAGAAAATTGAATACATGAAATAAATATAGTTCTGCTGTGTGAGAATCACAATAGTCAACACAATTTGCTCCACAATTCGAGATAAGTATACATGTATCTACGTCAATTGAAGTGGCAATAGCTCCAACTATCCATATTTTATGCATGAATTTTGTTTTCAATAAAACATTACCTGTGTTATATAATAATAACTTTATTACACTACTAAAAACCTTCAGAGGGTTTTTGTATGGTAAGGAACATATTAAATACAAAGAAATACAAATACAAAAAATTCAAGAGAGATAACAGTTACCACAACTTGCACCATAGCATATACAATTAATTTGCACAGATACCAACTGAAAATTCATCAGGCCTATGATTTGTCCCGGGACACCTATGTTCCAAGTTTCATTGAAATTCACTGAAAAGTTCTAATACTAAAAGTGGCTAATTGTTATGCAGATTAGATGATAATATTCTAATCAGGTCTGTTGATTACCCCAATGCAGCTATATAAGTTTTATTAAAATATGTTAGATCTATATCAAACATACAGCTACAAATTAGGTAATTAATAAACACAGATTTATAGCATAATCTAACCATGTCTGTGAACCAAGTTTCACCAGTGGAAAAGTTGATTGCCTCATTATTATGCAAATAAAATCATCGATATGTGTGGTTGTCAACCAATAACTACTGGTAAACAGGTTGGCACATTATCCCAGTGTATCTACCGGTATATACAAAGTTTCATCGAAATCCGAACAGAGGTTCTTGAGATACTGGTGGAACAGACATACAGACAGGAAAACCATTGTGTGCTTCGCAAATGGGAGTAAAAAAAATTTCCTTCCTCAGTTATCAATTTGTTTTTGTATGAGTGTATGTATTATAGCCAGTAAAAGCAAATAAGTTAGTGACTGGGCCTTCAATAATACTAGTATATGTCCAATTACTCTAACATAAAAACTAACACGATTATGAAAACAAAATATTGAGAATACTCACCATACAGAGAAGACACTGGCTTTCACAACAGGCACCACAACATCCTAGGAACCCAACCAGGATCATTAAGCCACCGCACCCAATCATCACATACGTGCCGATGTAATACTCTTCTAAGTTGTCGATTGATTCCACATATTTCTGTGTATTAGGGTCTAAAAGTAACCATAGTCCTACTGCCGCTAAACCGCATCCTAAAATCTAAATAAAGAACAAATTTTTTTTTTTTTAAATGTTTACGAGTTCAAAGCCTATTCTCTAGCGTAAAAAAGTATCTGCTCTATTAGTTTTTAACTGACAAAGGTGTGTTTATTATGATTTAAGAATTTATTGGTTTAAAACAAGAATATTATAATTTGATATACAGTACATGTATTAATAAATTCATAAATGTATTCTAAACTCTATAAAAATATATTATACAGGTTTGAAACAAGAATATTTTATAATTTGATATGCAGTACATTTATTAATAAATTCATGAATGCAGTATTATGTAAAAGACACATGATTATATCTGCATCAAACTGCATCATGACATAGTGTTTTCATATTTCAATTTTTTAAGTTAAATCAGAGGAACATAATGCTGATACTTTATATTCTTGGCATTATGACCGTCTTTGTGCATGTGTGCAGCTGCGAATTGTTTTCAGTTCTGTTTACGTTTGCAACACGGAATTGTTTTTTTTTCAGTTCAAAGTTCATGTGTCTCATGAGTAAAAAGAATTTGTATTTGACACCTAAATCCTTGCTGTTTTCTTTTTTTGAAGTTGGATAATTGGATATGATTGTATATATATATCAGAAGTTGTTCAATTATTGTCACTGCACTAGAGGTGGGCCTTGTCTTATGAAGTTCCATGTTGAAAGAGACAATCAAAATAACAAGTACATAGAAACATACATACATGCTTCAGAAGGACATGTATAAATAAATACCAATGAGTTCATAAGTTTTGAACTAAAGTTTCAGACTGACGACAAGAAAAAAAGCAGTGGTTGATTTTGATATCTGTGACCTTTTTTATCTGTTTATTCTACTCAACTACAGAATTTAGCAATATCAAAAACGAATCCCATGAACATTTTTTAAAACCCAAGTGCGGTGGTCGTCATGATGTGTTGTATTCACCATGGGTCCCATGCAACACATATAACACATGTAAAATACATTGTTTATTTATACAAAATTTGAATGCGGGTTGCGAGACAACTTTGATCTTTTAATTGAAGATGCAATACCAACAGCTTTAATTATTTATATATCGAGTACCAAAAATAATAGAATTTACATATTCTATAAAAAACATATCTGCACTTGTTTCAATATTCAAAATTTTCCCATATATGGGACCAACATGTTTTGAACAATTTTCTTTGTTTACATCTTATAAAAAAAGCACTACAGTGCTTGGTGGAAATTAATCCAATTACTTATCACTAATGTTTGTACAGTACAAAACTTTTTTGTTGCTATTCTTGGCTGTTATCTCAAGTAGGAAAAAGATGTAAAGTAATGAAGTTCTCATGGGAATACTCTATACTGACTTTAATAGTGCATACTTCAGTAATCTTGAGATAACCTCATAGTATTATAAAATCATTTTTTTATATTGCATGGAAACAATAATGTGTATGTGTGATGTTTTTGGGACTACTTTATTTCATGTGTCAGAATACATACTTTTGTAATAAATGGTGTTACATATTATTATTATACATCTGTCATCGTTGCCATAAGTTACAGCATGCCGTAATTTTGCAGTATTTTATGTGGTATTTTCATCCTACCATATTCGGAAATCCGAATTCCAAATATGGAATGATTACGTGCTTAAGCATCCTCTAATTATGAAAACAAACATGGCAGCCACCAGAGTTTGACCAGACTCCACACAAAGGCATTCCTATGGTGTATCCTAGGAAGGAATAAGATGTATAATAATAAGGTTATTACGAGGATACCTCAAAGTAAACACTCAGACAGAACTGTGTTCGTGCATACTTTGAGGTATCTTTGTAATAACCTCATATTATAAAGTGCTTCGTTTTAACTAGGAATTTAATTTTGCTTATTGTGCAGAAGGGATGCACCAGTGAAATGAAAATATGTTTTTTCTTATATTTTAAATTCAACTTATCAAAAATCTGTGAAAATAAACTCCATACAAAACACCCAAAATTAATCCAGCTAAAATGTATTTTACAGTATCTGATCACCCAAGCGTATTGATATGAAAAAAGTAGCGTCTAGGTGGAATAAACGATACAATAATCATGAAATCTCTTGTTTTCTTTGATGTTTTGTGTGTTTATCATAAAGCAAAAATATTCGACAGCAGACAAATAATAGCTTCATGAATTGTTGATAAACACTAAAACCGACATACACAGACATAAGGTGGTTTGTTATTTCCATGGAAACCAAATATCCTTTTGCAGCAAAAAATCCATAGACAGGCAAGGCTGAGATAGTTTCTCTATGATTTCCTATCTGAAGAAAGTTTTTTATTTGAACATGTTATTATATCTTAATTTCGGTGATTGTATTCATTTAAACATTTGATTGGAATTTAATATTATTATGACCAATATTTTTAATTTGTTCATACCTACTTAAGGATTCACAAGTGTTGGAGAAAATTAGGTTGTCATGGCAATTTACCTCTTAACTCTTTGAATGTGAGAGTCATCTTTTGTTTTGTTTAATGTTGAAGTTGCACAAATTATACCTAAATATTTTTTTTCATATTTTCAAACATTTTTGACCAAGAGATGTAAGCAATGGAAAATTGTACCCATTCAGTCCAAAATTAGTAAATATATTATAGAAAAATCATAAAAAATGTGAAAAATGTTGCTCTGAAATTTTGGCGGGGAAGCAATTATGGTGTTCAAAGGGTTATGGTAAAATTCTTTATTTTCATTGCAGGAGTAGTATATCAGCAAAAATAAATACAGTGAGAATATATTTTTTCCTACTGGTAGTTACCGGTAATTGCATGTAATTTATAAATAATAATATAATAATAACAAGTCATTGAAAATGACACAGTCCACGTTAAATTTTTAAAAGGTCTCTTTGTGCTTGTCATATAAAAGTGGAGGGGGTTGTCGCAAGAATGGCCTTGAAACTTGCGTCCCAAGTGGCATATACAACAGATTGTTCATTTACATCAAATTCGAACACCTGTTGCGTGACGACCCTTCCGGTTTAAGACAGCAAAGAAAAACATAGATCACAAGATACTGTATAAAAAAAGAAAGAAAGATGCCTGCCAGTCGGCCATCTTTGATCCAATTGTGAAATAAATCGTCGTGGACATGTATCCTAACATGTATAATCTATGTACCAAGTTTGAATAAAAACTGACAAAGCATGTCCAAAATACAACCACTGCACGTGCATTTGTCCCACATAAAGAACTAGGCACATGCAAAGAATGAACAGAATCGGTCCATGGGATTCTGAGATATGACTCCGAACGGACGCACAGACAGACAGAGACCGAATTATAAGTCCTCGTTTTCGGACTTTGTCTGAACGGGGACACTTTTTCAGTAGTTGCTGTCCCTCAACATGTCAGTAACATGGCTGCCACAATTAAACAATTCTCACTAGCAGTCAATCTTGTGTAAAATATCACAAGAAAATAACTTAATACGTGGTTTTCAATGACAACATTTTCCAATGAATTTTTAATCCTAAAATTCTATTTTGCTCAATATTTGATATGAGAGTCTTCAATGAAATAAATATACATCACTTTCAAATTGGTGCCACCTACCTCTATGCCGGTAATTAACATCAGTTATAAATAGAATTTAATTAGAAATTAAATGCTTGAATTATCATTATAGCAATTAATAATCGTTAAATATCATTTTCCATGTATATAATTAGTCAGACCTTTCCTTTTTAAAATGAGTGATCGCTCACTTGCTCACACGAAAGTTTGCCAAGGGTATTAAAAACCCCCCTCAATTTTTGTTTGTTTTTTATTTATGCACATGCAAAATTATTTTTCAAACAGTGAAATCAATGTCATAATTCACCTTAGTACTTTTAGGAGAGCTATTTTTTATTCTCCACCAGCCATTTTCAAAGACTAGGCCTGCAAAATTGATCATGAACTAAAATTGATGCGTTATATTATATGATCACTCGTTATTTTCATTGTGTATTTTGACAATTCAGCATAGCACCAAGACATGATCAAGGACATTCACATAATGGATACTTAAGATGAAGATCCCAAAAGGGGGTTAAATTACACAGCATTCATGAGAATTCCCGACATTGTTAAATGAAGTCAAAAAACTGTGAATGGAATGTAACTTGGTTTTAGATACTTGAAAATTGAAATCCCAGGCCTTGTCGAACTGCTCAATAAGAGAATGAGAACTATCTAAAATATGGCAACAATGTTCATAACATCTTAGTGTGCAACATACATGTTTTAATTTTTTCACCACCACATTCTTCTTTTCATCCAAATTCACAAACTGACCCCCCTTAGAGTTTGCACTTTCCTTCAGAAGATTGGGACAAAAATAGCCACATTTTTTGAGTAAAAACTGAAAATTGGCTCAAATTTAGTCTTTTGGCTTCAAAATTAGGGTTTATTTTCAGAAATATAGAAGAACAAAATAAAAAAGTGCAGACAAATTACGACGAGAAAGTCTGGTGGTGAAAAGGTTAGAACTGAGATATTTGAACAAGTCATTATTGATAAAGTACCTGTATAAGCTTTGATTATGAAACTGTGTCAATAATAACAACATACATAATATATTGTGTATTACCTATATGTAAAATTTGGATGCCAACAACAGGTAAAAACATCATTTTCACCCTATTTTTTGATCAATAAATACATATTTTGATCAAAAAAGACCCCTTAATTCACTTTGATTGTACAACTGTGTCTATCGACATATGTAATGTAATGTGTGAAGTTTTAATGAAATTGGAAAGAACAGGTAAAAACACCATTTTCACCCTATTTTTATCCCAAATGACATATTTTAATCCAAAGAGACCAATTTACCAGACTTTGATTGCAACATTGTGTCTATCAACATTTGTAACAAACTGTATATTACCTTAAGTGAAGTTTTACCAGAAATAATCAAAGCATCATTTGTACCCTATTTTAAAACTACAATTACACCCAAAAATATACCTTTAAGGTAGAAGCCTAGTCATAATTTTTGTGAAAGTTGGCCATGAAAATGTTCATCGGTTTATTATGTACAATCATGAAGCTATTGTCCCGTGGTACTATGAAATAGCATTCTTTTGTGTGTTACAGTGACGTATTTTGAGAAATTTGTTCTAATATTTTTCAAAAATCGCTATTATTAGAACAATTCAATAGAGCACAATGATAAAGACAAATTTTATTTCCTGCCATTTTTTAAACCTAGATTTTTGAAATAATTGAGAACAACAAAAAGTACCCCATCATTCACAATATATAATTTTTTCAGCCTATGTCACCAGGCTAAATTTTGAGATCTCTGTCATAGAAATCTATGGTAAAAGCGTTATAATACTGCCAAAATGGCCGCTATCCACTAAAATACAACCATCATTTCCTCAAAAATTAATCTGGTGACCCCTAACTTAATTTAGTAGAAAACGAATAAGTGTGGGTATTTGAAATCATGAGTAGACTTCTACATTTAATACACTGTGATTGTGAAATTGTGTCTATCAACATACCGGTATGTAATCTGTCGTGTATTAACTACAACTGAAGTTTGAATGGACACTTGTGAAACAAAACTGAATTCATGCTTCAAATATGCCTAATAATAATGGTCAAGCAGTTTTGACAATCACTTCATATTTATAAAATATTTCTTTTAACAATCATACTTTTTTGTACACAATTTATCTTTTCTCTGTGATTCTTTGTAAATCACACAAATTTATGTGTTTTCACTGATTTTTGTTAAGTAGGATAACAGTATTTACAACAATTGATATTTCCACCAAAACAAAGTTATCCTGTCGTTCCGCCATGGTACTTACTACCTGTATCTCATAACAAAGTTATTCCATATTCATCCCACAGTACTAGTATTATTACATATGTACTGCAGTTTATTTTGATTCGTTCCTGAAATCAAAATCGTTATTTCCACACCTCATATGCAAATGAGTCTGAGAGCAAACAAAGTAGTCCCTTCAGGAGTACCGTTTTACGAAACGTAGCAGAAATAAACAATATTTAGAAGTGCGATATTTTACCCTTGGGGTACATGAATATACTTGCCGAGTGAAATGAAATTTGAACAACAGTAACGGTACTCTTTGGCAGTCACTTATTTTGACAAAAACTAATTTGCATATCACCCATGCAATAATGTTTTCGGTATTTTCACGGTCGATATGCAAATGAACATGGTATTTCCATTTGCTATCGAACTATTTTTATTTTGTAAACACATTTTCGTCTGCTATTTTGTCCGGTTTAAATCGTTCAGCAACGTTTTTAGCATGTTAGATGTACATCACATGGAATACTACGATTGGGAGAACTTAATGTATGTTGACCACCTGGAAACTGAGTTTTATAAACCTTGAAGGGCTCTCGGAAGATCCACCCGCCGTAAAATCATCGATTACTATGGAGATGCTATCATCAACATCGAGATACCAGGTTTCTGCTGGCGACGTTGCGGCGTTACTCAGTTCCAAATAAAGATTACCCGGTACCAACACCAAATGAGCAACATTTAAACCGGTAACCAAGACTCAGTCAATCCACCACCAGCAAGCAATATCACACACGAAGTTGTAGCGCGCAGCTCAGTGACGACCGCTGTCGACGAAAGTCATCTCATCAGTGGAGTACCGCAGTTGCACGGCATGTTTACCAATGCACAATTCTGTGGAGGAACTTTTAACTTCCACATAAATTGTGTATCATAGTCGTCCAGTTCAAATTCTGGTTCTGTCGTGGTCCCAACTAAACGTCCACGAGTTATTTATTCGGACAGTGACTCAGATTAGGCGTCTGATTATTTTATTTTCAAACAAACAGTGACACGCATTCTCTGGGCGCATTCTACACTGACACGCGTTCTCTGGGCGTAACACTATATTTGAACATATTAATGGGCAATGGAGTTTACGACCTAAATTCTATCCCGGTTTGTTGCACTTTTTTTCTTTAATATGAAATAATTAAATATGGAACATATGTAATAATAACAGAACCCCACACCCTGCCCGCTTCGCTCCTGAAAGTATGGCTACAGGATATACCGCATCACTTGTGAAAATAACTTCCATACGCAACGAAAGTCACAGGCAGGGTGTGGGGTTCTGTCATACTACTTGTCTCATAAAAAAGATATTCCATATTCATCCCACGATACTTGATACTACTTGTCTCATCACAAAGTTATTTCATATACACCTCCCCCATGGTACCTGGTACTATTTGTCTCAAAACAAAGTTGTAAATCATAGATTTACTTGTTTGTATAGTAACCTCAACTACCACAATCAATTCTATTAACTGGGCTAAAAATAAAATGTTGTTTGAGCGTTTTAATTATTAAAGTGAGTTTAAATCAATGGTGGTTCATGACTGGATAATTAACGAAGGTGATTGAGATTATATATAAAAAAAACACTGACAGAAAATCACAGCAGTATGGTCTCAAAAACTAAAAC